GGAACAGGAACCCCTTTTCAGAAACATGATTATTCAAAATGTATAATTAATTCATTGGTTTATCTACAACTATATCCATCAGTCAGTCATCTAATTGATACTCGATTCTCAACGGTTGTGACAGTGATAGTCGAGGTGATAGTGACAGCCATTGCTGTTGTGAATTCAGTAATGATGACGTCCGTCTTGTCAAATTAAAATTCGTTCTGTATACCAAATCCCAGCACAATACAATATTGTTTGTTGAAGGCAAGCATATTCAAAAGACTCACCTTATATATATGGTTTTCCTAGTTTCGAAGGCATTTCGACAAATACACAAAAAAATGAGAATTTAGTGTATTCTCAACCGTGAGTGACTAAAAAAGGAGTTGACAGCTGGCAGAACACGACAATTCGTTTTGCCCACACATACGTATATACGAGGATAAGTATTTGCGATTCGAAAACACTATAGATTCATTAGTATTCTGCAAGTGAAGTGAATTTGGCGTAGATTTATATACTGATATTACCTAAATACGGTTGACTGATGCTCGCGCACGATTTTTTGTCCTGTTGATCTTTCATCTTTTTTTGTTAATTCCCAGGTCAGTCTGACAATCTTGAGCTTGATTTTTGTCTTTCTGGTTTGGCTTTCTGGCTATCTATAAAAGCATGTTTATTTCGTTTTTCAAAATATATTATATTTATTTTCTTCTGTTTAATTTGGCTAACTACAAAAGCGTGTTTTTTAGTTTTTTTTTCAATTTTTTGTAAGTTCCGCACGGCAGTGGAAGTCACTGCCGTATCTCTGGATGTAAAAATGCATAGTGAGATTATTCGAAGGACTTGAAATGAACATTTAAAATTTTGGTGAAGGAACATTTGAAAATTTTGGTGGCGGAACTTCATTCATTATTTTATTCGAAAGTAAGCCGCTCATCTTGAAGATCCTGATCAGTATATATGTACAAAACTATCGAATAATGCTATTGTCATCGGTTCTTGATAAGTATGCGCGAAAATTCAATTCAATTCGACATGTTGAAAATAAATCATATGGACATTTTAGCAATATTACTCAAAAATACGGAAGAGCATCCAAATCTAATTGAAAAAGTTCCTTTCATTCAATTTGGACGCACTGTTTCCGATTTTGATGTAGGTGCAAGGTTGGTAGAACTGATGACTATTTTGTAGAGGAAGGTTGCCTCGATCGTCCCCCGCGAGTAACCTTGAGTAACTCATGACGTAATAGGCCCATTCTTTTGCACGAAAAGTGTAGCACTTTCGTACACTTCGTGTATGATATGTACGCCGGCGCCAATTGGCAAGGTGATCGACCGTTGGGGGCGCTGCTTCAAAACAAGATGGCGGCAAAGAGTGTGTAGTTTGTTTACAAAATTTCTTGAGATTTGCATACATTTTCTTCTTGATATTTCATCGTGTTATTTGAGTTTATTGTTGAACTTTTTACTGAAATCATAATATTTTTTGTTGGATCATACTGTTTCATCGTGATGTGAGGAAAATAACTGTTACCTACTGACTGAATCGTGGACCAAATAGTCTGAGCTTTCTTCAAACCAGTGCATTTCTGTGGGCTGTGGGACAGCTTTATGGGATATAAAAAATCACAAGCATATTCACTATCATCAGAAGCTGATATATTCACCATAATACCTCTATAACTCCACTCTTCAAGCAAAAGGATCCTACAGAACACAAATGGTGATACCAGGAGTGAAGTTTTTCAACAGTGAACAGCCTTCTGTGAACATATTGAAAACCATCCCTAAACAATGTGTTAACCTATTGGACTATTTTGTGCTAAATATTATAGCCATCAGAATCATGTGCAATTGATCCATACAATAGAAATCAGCAGCAACCAGCTCTAATGAGTCTAAACCAAGAAATAATTCAACACCAAAGGCATCCTGACATTACTGTGGATTTAATAGTAGATACAACTATCAATGGCCTATCTTCAACAATATTACTTCCAGGCTTTGAGGATTGTTTACAGTGCAACTCCAATACCTCATATATTATGGTGCTTCACTGCAATAACAGCAAATTGTCATGATCCTATGTGCCATGTGTGTGAATTGTATCCATATAACACACTTTTCATAATGTGAATATTCCTAATATACTTAGAGTTGAGGTAGGTGGCATCCTAGACTGAGTTTTCTTCTTGGAATTCATTTGATATCTTGTAAAGCTAGTTTTTTTACCATATTGATGAAATCATTGAATAATATTTGGAATTCCACCACATAAAACATTGATCAAATGACCTAGGATTTCAGTTAATGTATTTACACAGTATATTATCATAAATTTTGTGATTTGATATCATTTTGTAATCCTAAATTCATCTAATTGAAAATATCTATCTTATCAATCTGTATAGTTCATCATGTTTTGTATATTTTGGAACTGAATTAATAATAATTTTCGAAAATGAAAGTACATTGACATAACATGTGTTTTACTGTACTTATGCCACTCCAAAGAAGTCAAGAAAGAAGTACCTACAAATAGAAGGATCTTCCAGTATACTCCTTCCCTCAGTGCTCAAGTATACCTACTGTCTTCCCCTGAATTATTTTACAAGATACCTTTATAAAAATTTACAATTCTAAATGAATTTGAAATCCAGGACTTTCATATTATGTAGAAATATATTAACAATGAGCAAAAGTAAGTATCTACCTGGTAGGTACCTATTTTAAAAGGAATCAGTAAAGATTATAAAGTGAAACTTTGAAATTGCATCAAAAAAGAATGAGGTGTTGATTGAGGTAGTTGTAGAATTGAAATATTAATTTTGAAAACCTACAATAAAACATTACAAAACCGAAAAAAAAAGTTGAACTTTTACTTATGAATAAATACAGTTTAATAATAACATATAAGCAGTAAAATTATGAATACATTTTTCCAAGATACAATATGAAATGTCATGGATATGTTCAAGTACCCAAATAATCAGTGATATCTCCTTGAAAACTTGAATTCAACTTCATGGTATCTGGGTTTTGATTTCAATTTGTGTAACTATTTGCACCATGGACATTTGTGTAAGTATTTGCACCATGATTTGCACTCAATTGCAAGATACCCTGGATGGCAACACCACCCCTGCTGAAAAATTAAAGAAATGTTAGTACCTACTACTCATAAACAAACCATATCTATTAGCTATTACACAATCTAAATATTCAAATAGAAATAGATTGTGTCACTTCAATGTATGTTCAAAGATTCAATTCAAGCTATGAAGTAAGCTACCTACAATGACCTGCTTGTACCAGGGTTATTATATATCCATAAAATATGCTACTGTTTTTGCTCATATGAATGTAATTGGGAGCTGATTTTTAACTTAATCATTTTGGATGTACATGGAATCTGCATTGGCTATTTTACTACAAAGATGATACTACAAAATAGGAATCTATGGAGGCCTAGGCAGGATGTCATGAACAAGATTTTTATATGAGTCAAGCATTACAAATAAAACCATGAATTACCCACCTGCACATGTTCATAATGTCTTTTTTCTTGCCCAGCTTTGTGTATTGCAGTTCAAAGGTAAAGGCAATGAATTTGCTTCTTTATTTTTCTTATGAAAATATTTGAAAGAAAAACAACCATAAGTATTTTTCCAAGTCCTGGAGACATTTCCCCATAAACAAAATAGGTATGAACTGTTGATCATTTCAATCATGTTTTCTCTCAGATAGGCACTGCAAATAAGAGTTATTCATCAGTAATAAATATATCAATGAATCACAAATTTACCTTATTGTTATCATTATTGGACCAATGAAGTGAAGAAAGGTAAGAAGTTTTTGTTGGAGCTGCATACATCCAGTTTTCAAACTCATTGGATTCTCAACGTTTATCCATTTTTTCCATTCAACTGAGCTGATTTTTCATTATCAGAAAAGATGACTTCTCGAGTGCAGGAAATTCATATTAGAGGATATTATAGGTCCTACATTTTTCCATTGGAACCTTCTACTAGTTCAACCAGCAACCAAACACAGTTGATTTCGAGTATTATCAGATATTTGTTGATACTAATGGTAACGGTAAAGTGTGCGAGGGTAGGATGTCAGGTTGACGGAAAAAAAATAAAGGAATTGTCAGTTAAAAAGAAAAACGACAGATTGTATTTTGCTAAAAAGATTATTAAAGTTTGATTAGTTCACACTATTGTGTATAATCTGTATCTTCGCTATTCGTGGCACTGTCTATAAAGGCTAGTTATCAATTCAGAAGTGGTCAAGAATTCACCTCACGTTTGTGTAAAGGAAGATCTGTTGGAATGGATGATTCCGGAAGAAAACAATCTCCTTTGATAACACTAGACGAAGGTAGTGTTCGTGATGAACCATCATCAACTGGCGGTGGTCATACTGATGGAAAACAAGATCAACTAGTCGATAAATTCATGGACATGATGCTGACTATGGAACGGAACAGGCAAGATAGCGAAAATAGATTTTTCCAATTTATCCAAGGACAGGTATCCAGATCAGTTTCGGAGACAACCAATTTCCAAGTAATGCCAGATTTCAGCAAGACTATCGAGAATTTCAATGGTGAAGTTCTGGGGAGATCGGCGATGGGATGGTTAGAGAGATTGGAAAGCACCGCCCTTTTACACAACTGGCCTGACACATTCAAATTAGAAACAGCAAAAACACATTTGATTGGAACTGCAAAGGATTGGTTTAATGGAAACGCAGGAATAATCAAGACATTTTCTGATTTCAAATTTAAATTTGGTAAAACATTCAACGTCCGTGAAAGCAAGACTCAGTTATGGAGAGAAATGGAAAAAAGTGTTCAAGGTAGAAAATCACTATTCTCATATTTCCACTACAAAGTTAAACTGTGCAAGGACTTGAACTTGGATTTTGATGAGATCAAAGAGCAAGTGGTAATAGGCTTGGCAAATAAGCAAATAATTCCTGGTTTGCTAGCAGCTGCTCATGTAGATGAAGATGCTCTTCTACATGATATTTATGAATTTGATAGAATCCATTGTCAAGCACAAGGACGGCATTTTCCTGGGAGTTATAAGACATTTTCTAGAAACTCGAATGGATTCAATGAACAAGATTCTTCAAGCAGTTCCGCGCCAGAGAGAGTCGGAAAACAACCAGAGTTTTTGAACACTAATCCTAGAATAGAAGAAAAGGAAACAAGGAAATTCACCTGCTATAAATGCAAAGGTGAGGGACATCTCCGGAGAGATTGCCCTTCTAAAAACGAACCATCCGATTCAGGCAGCAAAGAAAAAATTATACAATCGCTAATTAATCTGGAGGAAAACTGTAATAATTCTATTGAGAAATTCATACGTGAAATCGAAATTGATAGACATCTCCAAGTAGCAGCTCTCATTGATCCTGGTAGCGCTGTGTGTACCATACGAGAAAGTTTGGTAACTAGTGGGCAATTGATCAGTATAGATTCCAGTAGAAAATTGTTTGGTTTTGGACAAGAAAATCCAGTTAATTGTCAAAAGAAGGTAATTGTTGAAATATCCATGGATGATATTGTTGTTGAAAATGTCGATTTATGGGTTGTTCCAGATTTTGCCCAAAATATGGATGTTTTGCTAGGAAGAACTTTTACTGAGTTAAATTGTCTTGCTTATTATAGAATAGGAAATGCGTTGATATTTAAATACGCAAATGAAAACCCGTTTTGTCAGTTGCAGCTTTGCGATAATGATTCCAAACATGTCTGTTCACAGTATGATACAATTATGTTAAATGATACTGTGGGTTTTGTAAACAGTACATGCAATGAGGTTGACTTACATGTTTCTATAGTGAACAATTCCAGGGAAGACTGTCAAGTTATGGAAGGAGATAATCTATTTTGCATTGATAGAATTGAAATTAATGATGAAAATTCATTCGCAAAACCAAAAGAACCTCTTACAGATGATATGAGCAATGTGGATTCTGATATTTCAAATAGGTGTTTTGAAAAATTGTTGGAGTTTGTGAACGAATTTCGAGACACCTTTGCTTTGAACTTGAAGGAACTTGGTTGTACGAAGGTGGCTCAGATGGACATTATAGATAACAATATTCCCGTTCGAGCAAGACCATACAAAACGACTCCAGACGATCGTATGGAAATTTCTAGAATCGTTAAAGAATGGAAGGATGTTGGGATTGTCAAAGAAACAAGTTCGGCTTATGCGAGTCCAGTTTTCCTCATTGACGAACAATTCGAAGGATTAAGTGGCTGTTGTTTATTCTCTACTCTGGACTTAGCTAGTGGATACCTTCAAGTTCCTCTAACCGAGAGTGCACAGAAAAAAACAGCTTTCATAACAAATGATGATACTGGGCAATTCACGAGAATGGTTTTTGAATTGAGTAACGCTCCATTTGAATTCGTCCAGTTATATGCAGTAAAAACTACAACAGGAAAAGAAACAGTAATGATGTTAAAGAACTTTGTGCTGAAGTTTGGAATCCTAAGAATAGCAGTTACAGACAGAGGATCAGCTTTTACTTGCGGAGTATTCCAGAATTATTGCAAAGAAGCAGTTATCACCACTACCAAGGATGACGAAGAGTCATGGGACAAAAATATTAAAAATATGGAGAGACATTTGAATAACACAGTGAATGGAACTACGGGTAAAACACCGTTCAAAAGTCTTCATGGTTATACACCACGTTACGAAGATGCGAAAATAGCGTATAATATTGCAAAAGAAATGTACCAGGAACCAAAGAAAATTCATGAAGATATAAGGAAAAAAATTGAAGTAAAAAAGAAGAAATATAAGGATAGGTATGATTGTAAAAAATTTGAAGAATCTTATGAAGTAGGAGATATTGTCGTGATGAAGAGAGCTCATGTGTCCACTGGACAGCCAACTAAGACACAATCGAAGTACAGAGGACCTTTAGTGATCATTAAAATAATGGGAAATGATATATACAAAGTAGAAAGTCTAAATTTAGAAGAAGGAAATAAGTCTTTTCGTACTAATGCTCATATTTCACAGCTAAAAAGATACAGAAATGCTATTGAGGATGAGGAAATGAATGATGAGAGCAGTGATGAAGAAGATATTTTGGAAGGCACACCGATATTAGAAACTGAAATATTGTCTCAAGATCATTGTGAACCATACGAAACTGAAAACGAATATGAAGAAGATCCGGACTATGTTCCAGACATCATAGAGGAGAAAAGTCCTGGAGAAGAAGAAGCATGTCTGAGACCAACGAGAAATCGGAGAAGGCCCAAGAAATTTGAAGATTTCATTACTGAATGAAGTTTTAGTTTTTTTTTATCACTTTTCTTTGTTTCAATTCAACTCGTTTTTGGGGACAAAAACCATAGTCAGGATGGACGAATGGTAACGGTAAAGTGTGCGAGGGTAGGATGTCAGGTTGACGGAAAAAAAATAAAGGAATTGTCAGTTAAAAAGAAAAACGACAGATTGTATTTTGCTAAAAAGATTATTAAAGTTTGATTAGTTCACACTATTGTGTATAATCTGTATCTTCGCTATTCGTGGCACTGTCTATAAAGGCTAGTTATCACTAATTTATAAAATAATATAGAATTGATTAGGCAATTGATATAAAGTTCATGTCTTGTACTCAAGAGAAGCAAGAAGAGAAAATTAACGTAATTTGTTGAATGGTATTCATAAAATATGAAACCCACTGAACACAATAACAAACATGACCTTGAATTACGTCCTAAACTGGTTCAAATTTGCCCACCAGGTGCCGTATCGGAATCGTCACCTTGCCAATTATTGAGTTGACAGTTGTCAGTATTTTCGAATATTTGAACCATTTTGAACTTAAAAATGTGAAAATGATAATTTGTTCGGTCACTTTTTGTTAAAATTCGTACAAGTGTAATAAGACTAGTGAATTTAGTTTGTGTTTCCATTAATTTCCACAAGATGAGTCTATTCGTGAGAAATGGATTCAATTTTGTGGACGTAATTTTTATTCATTTAATACCAAAACTTGGCGAATATGTTCTGCCATTTCGATGCCGAGGATTTTGAACGGCACAAGCAGAATAGCTAAATCACACAACAAAGAGAAGAAAACTCAAGGTAGGAATCCCATCAATAATACCAAATACTACAAGAGAAACACCATAAGTATGGAAGTTTGGAAAAATGATCAGAACCAGACCAGTTGTGAATGTTGAGATTCTTGCTGAACGGGTAAAATGGACATCAGAAGATATCACACGTGTTTTCAAGTTGAGATATTTGAGCAAGACTACGTTACCCAACGAAGAGGAGCTATGTATATTTGAGAGATTCCTTGAACTATCCTTTATTATAGGTTCACTTATAATAGTAGTGTTATTTTTCATTAATTTTGTTCAAAATCATATTTTGTTATTTTTTTATGCTCAAATACTTCGATCAATTGCTCTGTTTTTGACTACAATTTAATAAAACAATGAAATACTATTTCCTCTTGTATTTTCTATAGGTATCTAGGAAAGTTTGTTAATTTTTCAGAATACAGAGTTATATTGATAAAATAAGTGATCTGTTGTGCACGAATATTGGTCCACTGCTACTACTTCTGGATCATCAGTTGATTATTCTCATATTTTCTGTAGTTTCTTGTTCACATTATCTGATTTGCAGGATATTTATAGGATGAGTAGGTTTATAATCAATGCATAAGTAATCACTAGCTCCATAATTATGCTCCATACCTCAAAACACACATACCTGGTACCACGACCTGGTAAATAGCCCCTGGAACAAAATTTCAGATAGGTATTCCTCTCTGTACTACTGATCCATCCAAAATTGCCTTTTCATTTCGAAGATTGAAGGTATTATACAGAAGTATATGTAAATATCCATATTTTATAATGATACTTACTTATAATTATATACTATAAATTAATATAAATATGCTGAGCAGACCAAAAAGTTTGTATCATGTTTGTATACTCTATTTGATAAACATTTCATGACATGTCGCTTTAAGGTTGACAACTTGTCGTCTTACTGCCTGTGACGTCACGAGTGACCGTTTCCCCCCTTGCCGCACTATCGATCGAGGCAACCTTCCTCTACAAAATAGTCATCAGTTCTACCAACCTTGTGTAGGTGTACTCAAAAGTCTCGATAACCATATTAAAATTGTTCTAAAATTGTTCTATCCGTCATTCGGTTGCCCCCTTACGAGCAACCCTCAGAAGTCTTCGAGAGTCTTGTGCGAGCAAGGAATGACGGGGGTCTTACCTTTTAACGTGTGATCCCAAACACTTTCTTGGGCCATCAGAAAAATTTCTGCAGTCGACGGGACTCGAACCCACGACCGGCAAGCGAATGCGGATTAGAATATGGACACTCTGTCCGCACGGCTACCTGGCCCTAATCAGTTTTATTTTGAGGTTCTGAGGATTTGTCAGTCACCGACCAGACTGAATGTTGCAATTATTATTATGGATGGTTGAACCTTGGGTTAAACTAAATAATCATGGGAAAAATCAATTGTTTGATTCATCTTGAACACCTTGTATCCCGGAAACGCAGCAAGGACTTTCATTGTCCATAAATTTGCTAGTGAGTTACCTCTTTCTTCAGGAACGAACACCCTATTTATAAAGGTCCTGAACATGTTCTTTGAAAAAATTGTGGAGATGATTTTTAGGTTTTTACTTGCTTTAGCTTGCTTAATCATGTACCTAATACATTCTCTTCAAAATGTGAAGCCGTGTTTGAGGTTTTTGGTATTCTTGTTTCCACAAATATTAATTTGCATAATAGTGAAGGCAATTGCCAGTACATCTACTTTTTTACATCAAAAACAGCTTCATGCTATTGCTATAGGGACGTAAATCTCCTAGTTTCAGTTTGGAAATATTTGTCTAGTTTTATCGTCATTTAGTTCTGTATTTCAAAACGTGAACCATTTATTCTTTAGAGTTATAGTTAAACTCAATGATGAGGCTCGCAGACCATCACGACAAATAGGCAATAGGATTAAGATAAATAATTATATGATCACGATTTCTTTTCAATTGAGTAGGTACCTAATTCAAGCTGCATGATCTATTTCAAATAACAATTCAATAGTGGCCTATACACTGAATACAGTTCGGTTCTTTTCATCTAACACACAAGGCACTCGCGTTCGTGATATGAGCAATCAAATCCACAGCTATTTCAACCCGTCGTTCATTTCTAGTGCTTCCGCGACATGGACATTCAAATCCACCGATATTTGAGTCCATCGCTTATTCCTAGTGCCTCCTCGACACGGCCTTTCAAATAAATCGCTATTTTTTTAGTCCGTCGCTCATTTCTAGTGCCTCCGAGACATGGACATTCAAATCCACCGCTATCTGAGTCCTTCGCTCATTATGGCTCATTCCTAGTGCATCGCGACGCACGGACTGTCAAATCAATCGTTATTTGACACCGTTGTTCAATCTGATTTCTCTCACGATATGATTGATCATTTATCAACTAAATGGCACTCTCTGCCCTTTTTT